ACTCCCGTAAGGATTTACACCCTCGGAAACCCTGTACAGGGTCGCTATGGGTCGGAACCGACTCGAAGGCACTTAACAACAACAACAACACACTTTATTCATAGTGACCCTATGACTCGGAACCAACTCCATGGTATTTAACAATGACAACAACACTTTATTGTGTCTCTTGTTTCCTTTTGTGGTAATTCTAAATAAAGGCGATACTGGTTATGTGCCGTGGAGTTGGATCTAACTCACAGTGACCCTGCATAGAGTTTCTGAAGCTGTAAATCTTTACAGGATCAGAAAACCTCATCTTTCTGGTAGTTTCGAACTGCTGACCTTGTGGTTAACAGCCCAACTCGTATCCACTATACTGTTAGAGCTCCTTGCGAGTTCAGGTGTTTTTAAAATGTCATCAAGTCACTCTTTCCTGCTCGGGGCCAGGATGCTTGGAGACTGCCGGGCACCTACGTGGTGGTGCTGAAGGAGGAGACCCACAGCTCGCAGACGTTGCACACTGCCCGCCGCCTGCAGTCCCGCGCTGCCCGCCGGGGCTACCTCATCAAGATCCTGCACATCTTCCATGATCTCTTTCCCGGCTTCCTGGTGAAGATGAGTGGTGACCTGCTGGACCTGGTGAGTCACCTGGGTGGACGCCTCCTGATAGGGCTGGGCCACCAAGTGTATTATGGCAGGTGTCCTTCGTGTGTCCATAACTGACTTTCAGAAAGAGGCAGCAGACGTTTATTGAGCACTTACTGGCTCCTGAGTTTATGCACAGAGCACCCTTCCAGCCTTGCCATAAGTGAATGAATGAATCCAGTGATCCATTCATCTTCATTTGATAGATGAAGAGGCTGAGGTTCAGAGAGGAACACACAGCCAGTCACGGGCAGAGCTGTGGTCTCCTGATGACCTACTGTATGGGAGAACCTTGTAGGGATGAAACCCTGGGCCTGTCAGTAGGACTCAGGGCCCAGGGGGGAAATTCCTTTGAAGCTGATACAATCCAGAGCAAGGCTTCTCTAGGACAGCGCTCTTTCCCCCAAACCCCCAACCCCCCAACTCGCCAACTCAACCCCAATGTCACATCTTTGTTGAAGGAACAGAAGGGGGCCAGAGTATACTCATGAATCTATATCTAGGTTTGACAGAGAATGTTTCTACATATATACTTACCTACGCTGCAAATATATCCATGAACGCTACTGTTACTATGTGCCATGGAATCAGTTCCAATTCATAGCAAGCCTGTATGGGGTTTCCAAGACTAGAAATCTTTATGGGAGTAGAAAACCTCATCTTTCTCCCACAGAGTGGCTGGTAGATTTGAACTGCTGACCTACATTGCATTTAGCAGCCCAACTCATAACCTAGTACATTACCAGGGCTCCTTATATCCATAAATATAGTAAAACATACGTAGTTGTTGTTGTTTGTTAAGTGCCATAGAGTCAGTTCTGACTCATAGCGACCCTGTACAGGGTTTCCCGAGTCCAGAGTCCAGAGCTGATCATACAGCACCACTCTAGGAATCCTAGTAGAGCATTTTCTGGTGGTTATATGCTGTGGAGTTGGTTCCGACTCATAGTGACCCTGTATAGGGTTTCTGAGGTTGTAAATCTTTACGGGAGCAGAAAGTCTCAGCTTCTCCCATGGAACTGCTGCTAGTTTCGAACTGCTGACCTTGAGGTTAGCAGCCCAACTAGTAACCACTACGCTACCAGAGCTCCTAGTAGAGCCTATATTGTTATTGTTGTTAAGTGCCATTGAGTTGGTAGAGCTATACAGGGGGCAAAATGATGAAAACTTCTCAGTTATAACCAGATACCTTGTGGAAATGAGTCAGTAGGCCTGGGGACTCAGGACCATAGTCTTGGGGAACACCAGTGTCAATTGGCACAAAATAGTCTACAGAGAAAATTTCTACATCCTACTTTAATGAGTAGAAATTTTATGAATCTTAAAATCTTATGAATGGCCATGCAAGGTACAACTATATTGGTCCTTTCCTGTCAAAGCAAAGAGGAGGGAAGACTATCAAAGATGCATGGAAACATTTAGTCCAGAAGACTAATAGATTCTGCAGGCCTCAGCCTCCACGACTCTGAGACCAGCGACCCTTGCTGACCACTCTGAAAGAGATCTCATTAGAAGTTCCTGTATAGAATGGGAGGAAAATGAGGGAAAACACTCAAATTATAAAAAACCCAGCTACTGGTCAGATTGTTGTTGTTGTTAGGTGCCATCGAGTTGGCACTGACTCATAGCGACCTTATGCACAGCAGAACAAAACAATGTCAGATCCTGGGCCCACCTCACTACTGTTGCCACACTTGAGTCCATTGACGCTGCCACCTGGCCAATCCATCTCATTGGCGGTCTTCCTCTTTTTCTCTGACCCTCCACCTTACCAAACATGATATCGTTCTCCAGTGATTGTTCCCTCCTGACAATATGTCCAAAGTATGAGAGATGAAGTTTGGCCATCTTGGCCTCTAAGGAGCACTCTGGCTGCACTTCTTCCAAAACGGATCTATTGGTTCTTTTGGCAGCCCATGGCACTTTTAGTATTCTCCTCCAACACCACAACTCAAAGGCATCAATTCTTCTACGGTCTTCCTTATTCACTGTCCAGCTTTTGCATCCATTTGAGGCTATTGAAAACACCATGGCTTGAGTCAGGTGCACTTTAGTCCTCAAGCTGACATCTTTGCTCTTCAACACTTTAAAAAGGTCTTGTGCAGCAGATTTACCTACTGGTCAGATAGACAGGTGGAACTCCTGTGACTGTGGCCCTTAGTTACCCTTCGAGCCTGTCTAAAAATGAACTCACCCCTGTGCCCCAATGTTCAGCCAAACAGTTTTCGTTGTGAAGTGCCATTGAGTCGGTTCCGACCCATAGCGACCCTGTATAGGGTTTCCAAGGAGCAACTGGTGATCCTGAACCATTGACTTTGCAGTTCAAATGGCTTGGCAGTCTGGTGCATTAACCCACAGCGCCACCCCAGAACAGGCGTATAAAGTAAACAATTACACTAGGGAGGTACACGCACCTTAGAACAGTCAATCACTCTAGATCAAAAGGACAACATTTACCTAGGGATAAAGTTCAGAAAGCAAGAAGAGATAAGAAAGAAGGAGAAATGGAAACAGAAACACAGGGAGGAAGTGGGTGAAGTATGTTACACATGATGGGGGTTGTAGTCAATGGCACGAAATGAAATGTGTATAAATCGTTAAAGGAAAATTGACTTTGTCTGTAAGCCTTCACCCAAATTATGAACTAAAAGGCCAGTCTTACTGGTGTGACACTGTAGGATAAGCACTATACCACGAGGTCGCTTTGAATCGCAAGGTTGGTGGCTTAAATTCAACAGCTCTTCCTTGGAAATCCTATACAGAATCACTATATAAGTCAGAACCAACTTCATGGCACTTAACTGGTCAGAAAGAGACTCCAGGAAACCCGAGACTATGGCCCTTGGTCTTCCTTCTGGTCTGAAACTGAACTCACTCTCCTGGCTCAATTGTTTAGCCAAGCAGTGAATATGTGTATTGAAGGGGACAACACCAGTCATGAGGTATACACATTATGGAATGGTCAGCCACTCAAGATCAAAAGGGCAGCATTCAGAAGGGTTGGAAAAGAAGGTGGAATGGAAGCAAGAACTACAGGGAGGAAGTGGGAATAGTGTAGTTCCAGTGAAAGGATTACCACCATTTACACGAAACCGGTTACATGATTTGTTGAATGTAAAACAGACGATCTGCTCTGTAAACCTTCACTCAATTCACAATAAAAAGAATTTTGAAAGCAATGGGCCCCAGTAGCTGAGAACTGCTGCTCCCTGTGCTCCCCACCTTGGCCCCAGAGCTTCAAATGCTAATTCTCAAAGGGGTTTTTCTTGTTTTACTCCTTCCCACCGCACCTACCCACCCACCCACCCTGCTCTCTACGTGGCTGGGGGTCTCTCAGCCTCCTGCAGACACTGAGGCCAGAGTGAGGCTGAGTCTTGCCTGAGGTCATGACATATAATGGGCAGAGGCAGATGTGGACCCAGGTCTCTGAGATCTACTGCAGGCTGCAGTATGATTCAATTCAATTCATCCTGTGGGGCCATGGCATGGACGGGAGAGGGCCCCAAACAGATGGTATACTCAATATGCTTAACAAAAACTCTCCCGGTTCTCATGGACTCTGTTCTAACTTAGTGACCCCTATAGGAGCAGACTGCCACATCTTTCTCCAGAGGAGGTAGGTTTGAACCACAAATGGCACTTACCAACAACAACTCAGTCCACTGAGCCACCAGGGCCACTTCGCATTTACCAAGCATGTACTTACGTTGCGGATACAGAGACGAAGCCGATACAGCCCTTTCCTCTGAGTTCACAGTGAGGAGACACTGACCTGGGACCTGCAGGTGCCGTGTGTTCTGCACGGAGGCAGGAATGGATAGGTGCTGACCTAGCACATGCCAGAGCAGCTTCTAGGGAAGGAGGGCTGAATGGGAGGCCTGAGCCCTTTGACATGGAAAGCTGGGCTTAAGCATCAGACCAACCTGGGGTTCAAGTCCAGGCTCAGCCACTGACTAGTGAGCCTAACCTCGGACAAGTTCCTTCACCTCACTGAGCCTCAATTCCCTATTTGGAATAATACCAGAACCAGTCATTTAAGGATTAAATAAGGCCATGAAGTGTTTAAGCAGTTTCCAGGTACAGAAACTTAAGTGGGTATGTGAAGTGCTAAAGGAGCCCGTGGGGTGATGTGGGCACCCACAGACTAGTTACCATTGGAAGCTGTACCACCACTAGGTCTGAAGGGCAATAGTGTTTCCAACTCCAGAGTAAGATGGTGGCCCTGGCAAGAATGCTGCGCTGAAGTAAGGAGAGGGTGGAGGAGACTGGCTGCTGTTTCCCAGAGGCTGAATCCAGCCAAAAGCCGCTGCAGGGAGCCCGGCTGTTGCCGTCTGTGGGCTCAGCCACCCAGGCTCAGGCAGAGCAGAGAAGGATGAGGAGTGGGTCTGGGGCAGACAAAATTACCAGCACAGATACCATAATTGGAGATCTGTGTCCAGTACCTGAGTCCCATTTCCTGTCCAGCTTGCAAAGATCCTGGGTTCTGTCTGGGTGTCCTGACAGGTGTCAAATTAAGACCCTTTCCTAAAAGGTCTCTTTGGGGCCGGACGGTGTTTGGCTCAGTGACTGGGATATTGGAGCTCTGGGCAGCCCAGACTGATAGGGGAGTGAGAAAGCCCTCGCTCCCAGTCGGGTGTGTGGTCCTGGGACATCAGAACTGAACCTGGAGGACAAGGCTGGAGGGAGGATACTGAGTCCTGGGTGTGAACTGAGGACAGGTTTGATCAGGCGGAGGCAAGGGTCATGGATGTGCAGATGGCTTCTGGAGCAAGTCCCCAAGTTCTCTGTCTTCCTGCAGGCCCTGAGGCTGCCCCACGTGGAATACATCGAGGAAGACTCCTCTGTATTTGCCCAGAGCATCCCGTGGAACCTGGATCGGATTATCCCTGCTTGGTACAAGGCAGATGACTTCCAACCACCCAGTAAGCCCCCGGCCGCTGCCTGTCCCCTCTCTCCAAGCTGAATCCACATGCCCTGCCAGTGTCCTCCTTCTTAGGACCTTCAGGACTTGGTGGTCTCCACTAATCACTTTTTTCCTGTACTATCTCTGACACCTTCAGGTCCCTGTACCTCTTCATTACTGCAGGAGAAGGTAGGAAGCTGGGTTTAAATGAGTCCCTTTTCCACCTTCTAAAAGCACTTGTTTGCTGCTCATGTTCATTTGGAATGGCCCACTACACTTGTCTTGGTGTTGTTGGGAGCTATCGAGTCAATTCTGACTCATAAAGACCCCACATGTCAGAGTAGAACTGCCCCATTGGGTTCTCTAGGCTGTATTTTTATGAAGGAGTGAGTCCTGGTTTGGCACTGTGTGTTACTGCACTAGATTGCAAAGTCTGTTTGAACTGCAAGGTCAGCGGTTCAAGCTCACCAGCCACTCCTCGGAAACACTATGAGTTGGAATTGACTCGGGAGCACTTAACAACAACAACAACAATCTTTATGAAAGCACAGTGCCAGCTCTTTCTCCCACAGATCCACTGGTTGAGTTTGAATTACTAACCTTTTGGTTATCAGCCATGCACTTAACTGTACCATCAAGGCTCCTTGAATTGACTTGTTCTTCTTGTTGTTAGGTGCCATTGAGTTAATTCCTACACTTGCCTTGAGGAGGGAGTAAATCTGACTGGCAGTTCTTACTAGGACCAGACTCTTTCATTGGATTAACAAAGCCCTGTTTGAGCTGCCCTACAAGACAGACCATCCCTCTAGCCTGGCTCCACCTTCCTCCAAACACCACTGGGCTTCCCATGGCTCCTGGTTTTCTGGGGCTGCCGTAACAAAGTACCTGACACTGGGTGCTTATAACAACAACAACAACAACAAAGCAAACCTACAGGCATCGAGTTGGTTCCCACTCATAGTGAGCCTACGTAGAATATCTCAGATTATAAATCTTTACGGAAAAAGCACCACCAGCAGAAATCTGTCATCTCATAGTTCTGGAGGCGAAAAGCCTCAGTCAAGGGATTGGCCCAGTTGAAGACTTTAAAAGGAAATCTGTCCCATGTTTCTCTCCTAGCTTCTGCTGTGGTAATCCTTGTTATTCCACATTTCTGCCTCCAGCTTCACATACATGACTTTCTGTCTGTCTGTGTCTCTCCTCTGCTGGCTGTTGTCAGGATACTTGTCATTAGATTTAGGGCCCACCTGATCATCCAGATGATCTTATCAAGATTCTTAACAAATAGGTTGTTGTTGTTGTTACGTGTTGTTGAGTCGGTTCCTACCCATAGTGAACGAAGCACTGCCCAGTCCTGCACTATGCCTGAGCCCATGTCTGCTGCCACTGTGCCAATCCATCTCATTGGAGATCTCTTCTCTTTTTCACTGACCTTCCACTTTATCAAACATGATGTCCTTCTCCAGAGTCTGGTCCCTCCTGATAGAATGTGTGAAGTATGAGAGATGAAGTCTGGCCATTGCGTCTTCTAAGGAGCATTCTGGGTTTACTTCCTCCAACACAGATTTGTTTATTCTTCTGGCAGTCCATGGTTCCTTTAATATTCTTCTCCAACACACAGCAAATAGGTGTGTGACACTAATTAGTTTGGGCTGTGGTAAGAGGTAGACAGAAGCCCAGGCCACTGAGAGTGTGTAGCAGGCAAGCCTGACTGACTGTTGTGAGAGCTGGAAGGCTTCCTGGAGGAGGTGACATTCAAACCGAGGCTAGTAGCCATGTAAAGGATCCCAGCAGAGGAGTGAGTGTGGACAAGAATCCCAAGGCCAGAGGGACTGTGTGGTCTTCAGGACATTTAAGGACAGGGACTAGTGAGGAGGAGATAAGATTGGTGAGGTCAGCAGGGCATTGGGTGAGGATAAAAGGAAGCATTAGACCACAGTCTCAGCTTCTCACATTTGGCAGGGGCTTCTTGGATGGACACAGTGAGTTCCCCACTCTAGAGGCATGCCAGCAGGTATGGGTGCCCACCTGACAAAGGCTGCAGAGCTTCCTGTGTCAGGTCAGAGGCTGGCAGAGTCTGTACCAGGAGACACCCTTTTATTCTGTAGTTAAATTAGGGATATGAGGAGGAGTCCAGCAGGCACTGTGTCCAGTCCAAACTGGGTCCCACCCTCACTGTTTCTGGCATCTCACTGGAAGCCCAGGGAGTTCCCTGAGGTGACCTTTGGCCTGTGCCCTTGCTGGAACCTGGAGGGAATGTGGAATGTGAGTCTGCGAGGGTGGTCCATGGCGGAAACCTCTCATGTGGCAGCATCTTACCTTGTGAGGACCACCTGGTCCCTGACGCCCATGCTCACAACTCCCGGTTCCTGTCCCGGCAGTACCATTGTCTTGTTGTTGTTGTTAGGTGCTATTGAGTCGGTGCCAACTCATAGTAACCTTACGCACAGCAGAATAAAACACTACCCGATCCTGGGCCAACCTCACTACTGTTGCCACGCTTGAGTCCTTCGATGTTGCCACTTGGCCAATCCATTTCACTGGGGGGCTTCCTCTTTTTCTCTGACCCTCCACCTTACCAAACATGATATCCTTCTCTAGTCACTGGTCCCTTCTGACAATATGTCCAAAGTATGAGAGGTGAAGTTTGGCCATCTTGGCCTCCAAGGAGCACTCTGGCTGCACTTCTTCCAACACGGATCTGTTGGTTCTTTTGGCAGCCCATGGCACTTTCAATATTCTCCTCCAACACCGTAACTCAAAAGCATCAATTCTTCTACAGTCTTCCTTATTCAATGTCCAGCTTTCACATGCATATGAGGTTATTGAAAATAACCTGGCTTGGGTCAGGCACAACTTAGTCCTCAAGCTGATATCTTTGCTCTTCAACACTTTAAAAAGGTCTTGTGCAGCAGATTTGCCTAATGCAATATGTTGTCTGATCTCTTGACTACTGCTTCCGTGAGTGTTGATGGTTGATCCAAGAAGAATGAAGTCCTTGACAATATCAATCTTTACTCCATTGATAAGAATGTTGTTTATTGGTCCAGTGGTGAGGATTTTTGTTTTCTTGACATTGAGATGCAATCCATACCAAAGGCCGTGCTCTTTGATCATCATCAGTAAAGTGTTTTAAGTCTAGGGTGAGCTATAAGCAACCTGATCTCTAGCTGTACTTAGAAAATGGAGTTGCCTCCCTGAGCCTCAAACCTTGGCTGGGGCCACATACCAGGCCCCTTGCCAAGCTCAGTGGGCATGGTGCCTGCACTCCTTGGAACAGATTGTGCTCAGCCCACCCCTGAGCATGGTGGACCAGCAGGACTCTCAGCACCCTCAGCTTCCTCTCCACCAAGAAGAGCCTGAGCTTCAAGCTCAAATCTAGAGAAAGTCCCTGCTCCGCTCTCTTCATAAGCTTTTATCCCACTGGGATGTCTGCCAAGGTGTCCAACTCCCACCATCCCGGGAGCCCTGAGGACAGGCCCTGCTTTAGGCAGCAGTGGCCAGCCCCTAGGTGCAAGCTGATCTGTGTCTCCAGTACCTAGTCAGGGACCTCTGCTCAGTGCACACTGACCATGGCCTACAGAGTCCTTTGAGGTCTGGTCCTGCCACCTCGCTGGCCTCACTGTGTGGCTCTTCCCCACTCAGTGTCTGGTACCTCTTCCCATGTGACCTCCGGTAATGGAACCTCCTCAAGTTCTTGTCCTGTCACATTAGCCCCTCGTAACAAGACAGACACTTTTTTTTTTTTTTTAAGTTTTTATTGTGAATTGTGTGCAAGTTTACAGGGTAGACCCTCAGTTTTACATTCAACAAATCATATACTTTCTTTCATTACAGTGATTACAATCCCCTCCATGTACCATCAGCTAACAGTATTTCTCTCTATTCATTTTAGCTCTTTTTTTTTTTTTGTAAACACTCAGGCATATAGAATAACCAAAGGGAGGGTACATTCTGCAAGTCTGACTCCTGGGCGCCAGCATTCAGTCCCACTCTTTCCATGAATCTAGAGTCCTCATCTGCTCCCTCCCTCTGTTACCCCATGTCTGCCTCCATCTCTGGTGTCACTGCTTCTCTGGATAAGGTCTCACATTCCGCTTGTGCTCTTCTCCCTTGATGATCCTAGGGTCCTTTGTTTCTGGACTGTAAGATTAACTACTCCCCTGTTTTTGTTACAAAACTTCTACCTTTACAATTGTGACAGTCACAATTAGTCATGATAACAATTACTCACTATTGAATCATAAGAATCTTATCCCCATCTCTTTTTACCAGACAGATACTTTTTGCAAGTGAAACAGGAATTGGCTTTACTGTCAGGACAGACAAGGAGCAGTGAAGAGTCTAATGACCTGAACACTTGGAACTTCCTGACAAAAGGGATGGAAAAGCTTTTAAGGGAACCAGGTTTATGAGGAATTTGCCTCCCCTGCCCAAATTAGGGGATCCAGTTGCTGAATCATTCTGGGCTGGACAGTCCAATGAATTGCCCCCTCAATTTTGAAATGACTCTCGATGTAAAGGACTGGACAGCCCAATGAATTGTCCCCTCAATTTTGAAATGACTCTTGGTGTAAAGGTGTGTCATACAGCAGGTGCCTCCCAGTGAATGACCTCTGTGGCGTCAGGTGGGAGACAGAGTTGCTCTGTCTGCACAAAGTGCGGAGACTGGTTCCAGAGAAGGTAGTTCTTCTGTCCTTGTAGCTCCCTAGACGATGTAACTTAAAACCAAAAGATCAGTAAATTCCTAGGTGCTGCCCATCATGGTATATTGGGGTGGGGGTTCATGGCCAGCACCCTTGGCCTCAGGGTGCCTCGGGTCAGCCCAGCGTGACACCTGGCAAATTATAGGTGCCCACTAATGAATGAGAACTGTTGACACACATGGGAGGAGGAGTCTGAAAACAGACTTATCCTGCATCCTGGGAGGGGACGCAGACCTCTGTGAACCTGCCAGTCTTGGCACAAAGATGACAAAAGTGCTCATGAGTCCTTTTGCCTGGGCTGGTGGAGATTCCAGCCAAGACTGGAGGCCAATGCTTGGTGGACATCATGCACTCAGATGGAGTGCTAGCAGCCAAGATCAGATTGGCTCTCACCTGCACCCCAGGGCAGTGAGTTACAGGGGGAAGGTGCTGCAAGGGGACTGGCCTTGCCTGATGTCAGCTAGGGGGTCTCAGAACAATCACTGAACCACTCCATAGTGGGCTGACTGGTAACTCCAAAAGATAGGTCTGACTGGAACTTGTGAATGTGATCTTATTAAGAAAAAGGGTCTTTGCAGATGTAATGAAGTTAAGGATCTTGAGATGAGATCATCCTGTGCTATCTGGGTGAACCCTCAGTTTAATGAGCAGTGTCCTTCTAAGAGAAAAGCCGAGGAGAATGGAGACACACAGAGGAGGCAGCCACATGAAGACAAAGCAGTGCTGTGATGGAGTTATCCATCCACAAGCCAAGGAACACCAGGAGTCATGAAGGGCTGGACCAGGCAATGGACGCTTCTTCTCTGAAGTCTTTGGAGAGCGCATAGCATTGCCAGCACCTCCTTCTCTGACTCCTGTATTCCAGAAGTGTGAGAGAATACATTTCTGTTGCTTGAAGCTACTAAATGTGTGAAAATTTGTCACGGAGCCCTAGGATACTAATCACAGCTTTAAGGCCCCACTCCCTCATTTGTCTTGCTATGAGACTTTGCACTGCTGCACTTTCTGAGCATCACTGGGCAGCCGTGGAGGTGTGCTGCAAGGAGCAGAGCTGACCAATGACGTCCATAGATTCATGCTGAAGTCACACTTCTTGTGAGCTGTTCCCAGCCTGAGACTGGGCATGTAGGGCCCTGAGCCAGCCATTTCTGTCCAATACGGGATTCCTCTAATGAATGGACAGTCTCTACCCATGGATACCCATTGACCTGATGATCTATTACCAAGCAGGTGTGCTCTCTCACATGGCTCTGTGTTGATTGTGAGACTTTACAGAACATTGCTGCAGTCTGCAGCTCTTCCTACCCAAATCTCCTCCCTTCCCATTCTCCCTCACTACTGTCAGTCTGTTGGCTTTTGTCACTTTCTGCTCTGTTGTGGCCTGACACAGGTACTTTTCCCAGTTCCTTGCATGTTTCTTGCATGCTAATCCCATTTTGGAAAGTCTGGCTCAGATGACTCAGACCTTCCCATTAGCTTGGCCTTTTATTCTTATAATCCTGTCTGTCTCAGATATAAAAGGCTCTCAATGGTGGTGGTGGTGGTGGTGTGCCATCTAGTTGGTTCTGACTCATAGTGTAGAGGGTTTCCAAGGCTGTAAATCTTTAAGACAGCAGTCAGCCTCATCTTTCTCCTGAGTAGCTGCTGGTGGATTCGAACTGCTGACCCTTCCGTTAGTAGCCCAATGTGTAACCAACTAAGCTACTTGGCTGTTGTTGTTAAGTGCCGTCAAGTCAGTTCCGACCCATAGCAACCCTGTCTAGGGTTTCTGAGGAGTGGCTGGTGAACTTGAACCACCAACCTTGAAGTTCAAATGGCTTTACAGTCTGGCACATTAACCCACAGCACCATACCAGGAGGGCTTCTTAAAAGTCTATAAATGGGGTGGGCTTACTTTTGATATTTCTTAGGTTTTAAATGTTCATGCTGTTATTTCATATTAATATAAAGGAGACAGGTTGCCTGGCTGTGTGATCTTGAACATGTCACTTAACTTCTCTGTGCCTCCTGTTCTTTGTCTGTAAATAAACATATGACAATAATATGTACCTTCTGAAGGGTTTGGAGATTAAATGAGTTAATATATTTAAAGTTTAAATACTGTTAATAAGATGTAAATGATTTATATGTGTTAACTATTGATATTGATCACTATTGATTGCTACGATGCTGAACAGTTTTTAGTGACGCTGTCTGCCCCTGTAAAGTTTTAGTCTCAAATGCCCTATAGAAGGTTACTCTGAGTAGGAATCAACTTGATGGCAGTGAATTTGATTAGAGTTTTTAGGTGTTGGGCTGCTAACTGGAAGGTCAGCAGTTCAAACCTACCAGCTACTCCCATAAAGATTTATAATCTTGAAATCCTGTATAGGGTTCCTGCGAGTCTGAATCCACTTATTGGCAAAGGGTTTACTTTTTTGGTTTTGACTAAATTAAGACAGAATAGGAAGAAAGGCCTGGTGATCTGCTTCTGAACATCAGCCAATGAAACTCTTAGGAATCACAGTGGTCTGGTCCCTTTGTGTGTGGGGCCATGAGTCAGAGACAAGAGCAGCATCATGTTAACTATTATATTAATGTTTTAACTTGTGTATCTCACTCTCTCCCACAAATGCTGCCTTGGAAAGATGGTGGTGGCCTGGTGGAGGTGTATCTCTTAGACTCCAGCATCCAGAGTGACCACCGGGAATTTGAAGGGAGGGTTACAGTCACTGATTTTGAGAATGTGCCAGAAGAGGATGGGACTCGCTTCCACAGACAGGTAAGCATCCTTTCAACCACATCTGACAGGAGGAGGACTGCCCGTCCCCACCCCCGAACCTGGAGGCTTGTTGGCCCAGCCTCCCAGCCTCCCTGCCCTTTCTCTGCCATCAGGCATATGGTGGGAATGTCCATCGTCCAGTAACCTGCTGACATTCCAGGGCAGGTGGGCATTCTCACATAGCCCTTGTATTGGTTGAACAGGCAAACAAGTGTGACAGCCATGGTACTCATCTGGCAGGGGTGGTCAGTGGCCGGGATGCCGGCGTGGCCAAGGGTGCCAGTCTGCGCAGCCTGCGAGTGCTCAACTGCCAAGGGAAGGGCGCGGTCAGCAGCACCCTCATAGGTGAGTGATGCTCCCGGGCGGCACTGCTCTGACTCTGTCTGACCAGCTGTGGGAGCTAACTGAAACCTAGAGATAACTAAGAGTCCTCATTGAGGAGGGCCCCACCCGTGCACATAGGGAAATCAGCATCTCAGCTCTGTCCCCGTCTTTCTCTAACTCCACACTGCTCACTTCTCCCCTCCTGAAATCCTTTCAGGTATTATATCTTGCCATGCTTTCCTAGAATTGATGTGCTCTGTGGTTATCTAAACACACTTCCTCCATCTTCTGCTTACATGCCCCTGAAATCACTCCCTTACATTACTGATTGGGCCCTGGAGGTCTTCCAGCCAGCTAGGCTTGGTGAAATAAGTGGCAGAAGACATTTCCAAAACTTTTACAGGTTATTCCATCAATTGCCCTTGACTGGGCCCCAGGCAAGGTCCAGCTAAAAGCCAGGACGCTGGGGGCCTGTGGACAGAGAAATGGGTGGGAACTCTTATTTGCCGAATTCTTCTATAGCGAACCAGCTACTGATGGAGGGATTTTGTACACCATGCCCTAAAGCTGGCATTGTGATCCCTGTTGCTGGACAATGGAAGTAACCTGCCCCGGGTCACACATTAACCTCATTGGAAAAGAGGTTCTTGGCTTTCACCACAGGCACCTGGGTGGGCCCTGGCCCCTGAGTAGCCAGAGTCAGCCTGTGGGCCTGTTTGAAAGCCTGGGGAAACTTAGCAGCTTGCCTTGAGATTGGTGCGCTCTGCCCCAAATTGTTCCCATGTAGAGCACAGGTTTTGAAATTGGATTTTTAAAGGCAAGAATCAATAAGGCCCTATCTCATCAAGTGACCTCTGTTGCCTGCCCCACCTCTTTAATGACTGGTCCAAGCTCAAGCAGGCCAGACCCAACCCAAAGGTCAGTGAGGAGAGGCCACATTTCCAAAATCAATCACCCCACGAAAGGCCTTCCTCTGGTGCTCTGGCCGTGCGGTCTTCCTGGGGAAGAACATGCCTTCTTTTGGGGGTCTTGTTAGTGTATCTAAAGCCCCTAACACATGGTCTGGTGTAGAGCCCGTACTCAGCAGACAGTAGCTATTACACATCATTAGCGCCCAGTGCCTCCTGTAGGCAGGAGCTTGAGATGCACAGCGCTGATACTGCTGTTACGATTCATAATGACCTTTTCCGGGAGTTCTGGTGTGGTGCTGTCTAAGCCCTGGACTGATAACTGTGTGGTTGGCTGTTTAGACCTACCAGTCACTGCTCAGAAACCACCTCAGTGGCCCTTAACAACAGCAACACCACGACTCAACTTCATGGTTGAGTATATTATTCCATTGGCTGATTATACCAAGCTTTCTTTATCCAGTCATCTGTTGGCAGAGATTGAGGGTGTTCCCACCTTTTGGCTATCGTGAATAGTGTTGCCGTGAATGTTGGCATACAGAAATGTTTGAGTTCCTGCTTTCAGTTATTTTGGGAGATACCTTGGGATGGGATTGCTGGATGATGTGGCAACTTTATGTTTAACTGTTTGAGGCTCTTCCATACTCTTTGCCACGGTGGCTATACCACCAGGAATTAATGAGGACCCCCTACTCCTTTTAACATCCTCAGTAATACCTGTTGTTTTCTATTTTTAAAATCATAACCATCGTAATGAATTGATATTTCTTTGTGGTTTTGATTTGCACCTCCCTGTTGTGGCACAGGGGAGTCCTGGTGTGACGCTGTAGGTTAATGCACCAGACTGTAAAGCCATTTGAACTGCATGGTTGGTGGTTCAAGCTCACCAGCCGCTCCTCGGAAACCCTATACAGGTCGCTATGGGTCAGAACTGACTCGATGGTACTTCACAACAATACCAACATTGTGGCACAGGGGGAGTGGGTGGCTCCATACGATAAACACTGAACTGCAAACCTCAAGGTTCACGGTTCAAGCCTGCCAGCCACTTTGCAAGGAAAAGATGAGGCTTTCAGGTGTCCTGCTAAGATTTAAAGCAGGGCTGATATGAGCTGGAACCGACTTGACGGCCTATGTGGCATTCAACACCAACAGTGTGGCACAAGAGCCCTGGTGGCACAGTGGTTAAGTGCGCAACTGCTGACAAAAAGGTTGAGGGTTTGAGCCTACCAGCTGCTCCATGGGAGAAAGACGTGGCAGTCTGCTTCTGTAAAGATTTACAGGCCTGAAAACCCAATAGGGCAGTTCTCCTCGGTCCTACAGAATCTTTACGAGTCAACTCAATGGCAGTGTGTTTGGGTTGGTTTTTTAATAGCGAATGATGGGGCTTTGTAGGATAAGCACTCGACCACAAGGTCGGCGGTTCAAACTCACCAGCTGCTCCTTGGAAACCCTCTGCAGGGTGACTATGAGTTGGAACTGACTCAACGGCACTTAACACCAACGACAAACAAATGACATGGAGCATCTTTTCGTGTGCTTGCTGACTGTTTCTGTTTTTTAGTGAAATGTCTAGTCAAATCCTTTGCCATCTTTGCTGTTGTTAAGTTGTAAGAGTTCTTTATCTATTCTGGACATCATACCTTTATCAGGTTCCCAAAATAGGTTCCCAAAACTATCTCCCACTTTGTAGCATGTCTCTTCACTTTATTAACGAAGGTTTTAGTGAACAAAATTTTTAATTTTCATATGGTCCCATTTGTCTTTTGTTGCTTGTGTTTTGGTATCATATAACACTGTCATTGTTGTTGTTGTTAAGTGCCATGAACTGAGTTCTGTCTCATAGCGACCTTGTGTAGGGTTTCCAAGGAGCGGCTGGTGGGTTTGAACCACTGACCTTGTAGTTAGCAGTCCAGTGGTGATCCTACACTGCCATACCAGGATTCTTTGAATCCTCATAACAACCCAAGGAGCTGTGATCCTCGTTATATAGATGGTGAAATGGGCCTCCAAGGACTGAGGTCACATAGCTGGTGAGTGGAGAGCCAGGGTTTGAACTCTGGTGTGGTTCTGTCTGAATACCTAGGGCTACTGTAGTGGACAGTTTTAAAGAACAGAGATTCATTTTCTCACAGTTCTGAAGGCCGACAGCCCAAGTCAGGGGCTTCGTAGTGTCTATTTCTTCCCTGTAGGTGGTCTGGGGTGTTCCTTGGTTCCTTGACTTGTAGATGATATCTGTCATCAACCTCCCCCCTTCCCCCACCACAAGCTGTGTGTGTCTGTGTCGAATCTGCTCTTTTTATAACACAGAAGTGATTAGATTTAGAACCCACCCCTATTCGGGTATGATCTATTTAACATAACCAAGATAACCTTATTTCCAAACACACTACATCTGAAGGGATAGGAGTGAGGAAGTTCAGTACATATTATGTTGTTGTTGTTAAGCGCCATCGAGTTGGTGCCGACCCATAACAACCCTGTACAGAGTTTCATAGGAGCAGCTGGTGAGATTGAATCACCAACCTTAGTTGGGGGCACAATTTCGTCAATGACATTGGTGCACACTTAACGTTCTAGAAATTTGGATAGAAGTGTATGTACATCAAGACAGATGGCAAGCAAGGTTGTGAGCTCAGAGATGGGGGCAAAGTTAGCCTTTCCTTCTCTTCCCTCTGAGAACTTACATTCTTAGTGCCTCAGGTAACAGGGTTGCTATTATTGTGGGATCATGTAAGGTAGTATATTACGGCACTTCGAGGCCAGTTGGCTGGGTTGATGGATGCTGCTGTTGTTCATAGATCCTCTTTCAGTGTGTGTGGAGGGCCGGTGGGTGAGGTAAGGGGAGTGGTGTCTCCCCAGGCCTTGACCTTGGCTTTGTCCTCTTAGGCCTGGAGTTCATTCGGAAAAACCAGCTGGCCCAGCCCACAGGACCACTGGTGGTGCTGTTGCCCCTGGCGGGCGGCCACAGCCGGGTGCTCAACGCTGCCTGCCAGCAGCTGGCAAGGGCCGGGATGGTACTGGTAGCTGCTGCTGGCAATTTCCGAGATGACGCCTGCCTCTACTCGCCGGCCTCGGCCCCCGAGGTAGGGGCTGCTGCCACCAGGCAGAGGGGGATGTGGGCGCTGGGGCCTCCTGTGATGTGTTCCTCTGGGTGGGAGGGCTAGAGCTCAGGAAGGTGCTGTCAGGGACACCTCTGAGGGCTAGAGCTTGGGGAGGCTCCTGCTCTCACACATTGGAGCAGCATCCCACATCCTTCCACCCCATTCCCTCCTCTGGGCCCCCTTCTCTCCCCCCTGCATTAAAACAACAGTATCGCCAGCGTTCTCCCTCTCCCCCTGTTCCCTCTGCCAGGCCACCTCAAAAGGACTCACAGGCTCCTCCTAAACCATGCGACCCTCAGTCAGGGCTCTGTCACTATGCCTGTCCTCAGGACTCAGCCTGTCCGCCCCATCAGGGCTCATGAGATTGGGACCAGATGAGTGCTTAAAGTTACTCATTCAACAGAAGTCACAGAGCTTCTGTGTCAGGCCATTAGAGTCGCTGGTGAGAAGTGGGCGAGCAAAGGCCTTACACAGGAGGGCTGACAGTCTGGTGGGCACCTGACCAACATTGGCAGGTCACCCACCACATGCTGGGGGCCCAGGGGCCTTGGAAAAGAAACTTATTGAGGAGTGTACATCTAGGGGGTGTGTAAGTGTTGGTGGGGGTAAGGTATAGTCGTGAACCTGCCAGTGCTGAAATGCTTGGCTGCTGACTGAAAGGTTGAAGACTTGAGTCTACCCAGAGGTTCCTTGGAAGAAAGCCCTGGCAATCTACTTCTGAAAGCTCAGCCATTAAAAACCCCATGGTGCACAGTTCTGTACTGACACACTTGGGATTGCCATGAGATGGAATTAACTTCAAGGCAACTGATTCGACCCTACCCACTTTCCTGTCAGGGTTTCTTCCCAGCTGCCAAATACAACAAATCCAGCACATCTTTTCTCCCTTCCCTCTCTGCTTCTCTACACCACTTATAACTGCCTAATACACCAAACAGTTTACTGTTGATTTGTTTATTGTCTGTCTCCTCCTCTGGGATGTCAGCTCCTTGGGGGCTGTGTGGACACTCCAGCATTGGGTACCCTGAAACATTAGGGAGCACACAGGGCAGAAATAATAGTAGGGGTCTGCCCGCTTAGCTGGCAGGGTCTCAGTCTGTTCTTGCAGCCCCTCCTGTGTCAGCCAATACTTCCCTCACCTCTCCAGGTCATCACTGTTGGAGCCACGAATGCTCAGGACCAGCCAGTGATGCTGGGAGCCCTGGGGACCAACTTTGGCCGCTGTGTGGATGTCTTTGCTCCAGGGGATGACATCATCGGTGCCTCCAGTGACTGCAGCACTTGTTTTGCATCCCAGAGTGGGACATCACAGGCTGCGGCACATGTGGCTGGTGAGCTACTGCCCTACTCCCTGGGGTCACTGAGATTCTAACAGCCCCTTGGCAGGCAGGGTCTGCAAAGGGCTTCCCAGTGCCAGGCTCCGTGCTGGGCACTGGGGAACAAAGATGAGTCAGACACTCAGCCTGATGGAGGAAGACAGGTGCACAAACAAAGGTAACATAGCAGGATTGTCAGGACTGGAGCATAGGAGCCCAGGGGAGGTACCTCACCAGCATGAGGAGCAGAGAAAGCTTCCTGGAGGAGGAACATTTGATCTGGGGTTGGAAGGATGAATAGGAGTTTACTTGGCAAAACAAACACCCATGGGCAAGGCCTAGAGGTATGAGAGCAGGATGTAAGAGTGTCTTACTATTTAATTTTCACTTAGCAAGACATTGTGGGAGTTTTAACTTCTGAAAGAGCAGCTGGGTGTGTCTGTGTACAGGTGTGCATGTGTACACACTTGTGGATATGTATGAGTGTGTATATGTGTGGGTGTGTGCATAAGCAGAAGAGTCCCCTGCTGGGAAGAAGGCCCAGGCCACCCCGTTTCTTACCGCCACATCCCCCCACCCAGGCATTTTGGCCATGATGCTAACCGTTGAGCCGGAGCTCACCCTGGCTGAACTGAGACAGAGACTTATCCACTTCTCTGCCAAAGGCGTCATCAATGAAGCCTGGTTCCCTGAGGGCCAGCGGGTACTGACCCCCAACCTGGTGGCCACATTGCCCCCCAGTGCCCACAGAGCAGGTAAGACGGTGGTCTCAGAGGTCTCATAGGTCTGTGTGGCCTTGGGCCATCTCTCCCTCACTGTACTGGGAGGAGTGTTCTACCCACCTCCTGGATCTTGGGGAAGAGGAAGAATTGGCTGTGAGTGGGCTTTGCAATGTTTTATTACAGTGCTCTATTGGATACATTCTTTAAGCCCTGTCTTCCCCAAACTAAAGATTTTTCTGGAGTCCTCTGTGAGCAGAGTCCCTGCTGGAGACCCCAGACACAACTCTGACCCCCAGGGCTTTGTTGTAGGTGGGCAGCTACTCTGCAGGACTGTGTGGTCGGTGCATTCGGGGCCCACACGGATGGCCACAGCTGTGGCCCACTGTGCCACCAAGGAGGAGCTGCTGAGCTGCTCGAGTTTCTCCAGAAGCGGGAAGAGGCGTGGCGAGAGCATCCAGGTTACTGCACCCCTCCCTGACCTCTCAAATGTCAGTGCATGAAGCAGGAGTCTCACTTCTCTGCCCAGATCAGCCTTGTACCCTCATACTCTGGCCTCATCCTTGCCCACCAGCCAATTCTGCAAGTTTAAGGAGCTTTGCTAGAGCCAGAATGGTGGGCACATCTCCTCACATGCCATTTGTACGATGTGGGGAGGACTGTTGGAAGGCGCTATACTGGGCTATTCTGCATCAATAAGATTAGTAATGCCCGCATAGATGCAGGAATAGCCAAGGGTAACATATGTGCCAGGGGCTTGTGGCTTCCAGACTCACTAGTTTGAAGGATCCTTTTCAAACAGATCTTCTGGGAGTTGAAAAATCTTCTGAAACACCAAATCGTGGAATTGACATTAAGGGTGAAGGGTTGGATGGATGGGCAGTGACTAAGCCAGGAGGGTGAGGGCAGGTAGGCGTTTTCCAGCCTGGGAGATGTGTCTGTGAGTGTGCAAACAAGTGCGCCCTGGGAGACAGGCTGCTCCTTTTCCTGGCTGCTTAATGATTTCCCGTCTCTCCATCTCAAAAGCACTTTCAGTGTGAGGAAAACCAAAAACCAAACTCACTGCTGTTGATTCCAACTCTTGGCAAGCACATGTGTTCTATAGTAGGGTTTTCTTCTGTGGCACTGCTGAGTCAGTGCGCTACCCAGGGACCTCAGTGTCAGGAAGAACTTTGGAATAGGCAGATCTGCTCATCCACACAACAGTCTTGTCTCAGGCAGGGATGAGCTCTTTGTGCCCCCAGGTGAGGGAGCAGGGCTGATATCATGGGCCTTGCCAGAGGTCCTGAGGAAGGCTCAAGGGGCTAGGATCTGGTGCCTCTGAATGGGTCCCTGCCACCTCCTTCGCCCTAGGTTTTTGAGGCCCTTTTCTAAAACTGTTTTCTGTTTTTAATCTTTGGCTCCCAGTCCCATGGAGGCAGGCGAGTCTGCCTGGCCCACAATGCCTTTGGAGGTGAGGGTGTCTACGCTGTTGCCAGGTGCTGCTTGCTACCTCAGGCCAGCTGCAGCGTCCACACAACACCACCAGCCAGGGCTGGAGTAGAGACCCACGCTCACTGCCGCCAGCAGAACCAAGCCCTCACAGGTAGGAATTGGGCCCCACCCTGGCATAAGGAAGCGCTTCTATCTGCTAACGCACCCAGCCCCCATGGGATTTGACCCTCAAGCAGCATAATCTATGGACTTTAGAGCTAGACTGCCTGGTGGGAGTCCCATTTCTACCCCATCTGCTCTGTGTGGCCCTGGAAGCTTCCTCCTCAATTACAGGGGGTGATGACTGTACTGCCTCATTGGGTTGCTGTGCAGTGGGGTCCCATCTGGAGCCCCCGTTTTGGAATACAGTAGGTACAGTGCATGAGGCAATTCAGGGCAGGAGCTCAAAGGGCAGCTCGGAAAACTGGGCAGACCTTAGCTTGAATTCCGCTCTACAGCGTCACCGCTGTGTGACTTCTTTCTGCCTCAGTTTCCTCATCAATAAAATGGGAATGATGGCGTTAAGTATATACCTTCATGCTAGGACATTATAAATGCTAACTAGTCCTGGTATGGCACTGTAGGATAAGCACTGGACTGCAAGGTCAGTGGTTCAAGCTCACCAGCCGCTCCTCGGAAACCCTATACAAGGTTTCTATGGGTCATTGAAGCCCTGGAGGCACTATGGTTAAGTGCTCATCTGCCAACTGAAAGGCCAATGGCTGGAACCCATCAGCCACTCTGCTGGAGAAAGATGTAGTAGTCTGTCTCTATAAAGATTTATAACCTCAGAAATCTGCTAGGACAGTTCTATTCTGGGTTGCTATGAATGAGAACCACCTCTGCAGCACTGATTTCTTATTATCACCACAGTCTCTAATATAGGCAACTGCAGAAATATGCCGAGGGCACCAGGACTGGGGGACTTAGAGCACCTGTTACACGTTCAGGCCTCAGAGCCCTGCCCCATGGGGTCCCCTCTCCAAGTAGGAGACGATGTTTTCCTTACGAAATGAGGATTCAAGAGTGGTTGGGAGACTTTCCCAAGGTCACAGAGCTGGTCAGCAGTTGTCTTGAGTTGAGAACCCAGGAATTCTGTCGTTCAGACAAGGGCCTCTTTTTACCTTGACTTTTTCCTGATTTCTCAGCTCAGGCCTTAAAGAGATGACGTCTGATGGGGTTGGGGAGGAGAGACAGAGGGCTCCCTGGGAATTACCCTGTCTGAGCTGGTCTTCTTCCATCCCAGGCTGTAGCTCCCACTGGGAGGCTGAGGACTTCGGCAACCACAGGCACCCTGTGCTGAGGCCACATGGTCAATCCGGCCAGTGTGTAGGCCACCAGGAGGCCAGCATCCATGCTTCCTGCTGTCATGCACCGGGTCTGGAGTGCAAAATCAAGGAACATGGTGTCTCAGGTCCTGCAGAGAAGGTGAAACATGGGGTGGGTGTCACCTGTTGCTCACTGGGTGGCTTCTCTATGTGGGCCTCACCTGCGTTTGTTCGGCAGCTTTGACATTTGTGAGGACAGCCAGCCGTGTGTGCTTATATGTGGCTGATCTGTTTTTACTTCAGCACCATCAGTGAGGTTTGCTATCTGGCCATCCCACTCCCATTTGTGGAAAACATGCATTATCGATTGGCCCATTTAGCAAACTTGCCTGGAATTCAGCTAGACTCTGGAGCTACAGGGCTGACTCAGCCAGGACCCAGAGATTACACCTGATTTGTGAGCTGTGGCCATCAGGTAAGGCTGCAGAGAGGGATAGGATGTGTGTGTGAGCCCTTCAGAAACCACACAAAGAGCCCCCTGGGGTAGCAGCGACTCCCCGCTTTTGAAGAGGCAAAGGCAGTTCTTTAAAAGGAAGCGCTAGAGTTTGCTCTTAAATGCGTTCAGACTGCCATCCTAGACGTGCAAGAGGGTGGGGCCCCTCCTCCCCTCCTGCTGTACCCAGTGCTTCAGTGTTTCCAGGACTGCTCCAGGCACAGGTATAGGGGACAGCCCTGCTCCTCCCTCTTGGAGGGCTCTTCGAGTGGAGAAGGCAGACACTAAACAAAACTAGTCAATTGCTGTGAAGAAAAATAAACTAGGGACAAGAATCGGGAAGTGTGTGTCATCGGGGGGATTGTTGGGGGTCAGAAAAGGCCTCACTGAGAAGGTACCATTTCAGTAGTGAAGGAGCCAAGGAAGTGAACCATAAGAGTATTGCAGGGAACAGTGTTTTAAGAAGAGGGAACAGCAAGGCAAAGACCCTGAGGTGTGACTGAAGTGTATGAGAAACAGCCAAGAATCCTGTGATATAGGAGCAGAGTGCAGGAGAGGGAAGTGTGGAAAAGGCCTCAGAGGGAGGCTGGAGCTAGGCTAAATCAGGACTGAAGGCCACAGTGAGGAACTTGGGTTGTCTCTACCTCTGAGTGAGCTGAGGAAAGACTGCAGGGGGCATGGACAGAAGCAGGGAGACAGGATGAGCGGCTACCATGAAGGTCCAGGTCCAGGTCCAGGTGATGAGGGCTGGGACCTGGTGGCACTTGTGCTTGGAGTCTGGGATTTGAAGGAGACCATAGGATTTCTGAAGAATTGCATGTAGGTGGGAAGTGTCAAGGATAATGCTAAGGGTTTTTGCTGAGCTACTGGACAGATGGACTTATTAACTGGAGAAGACTGGGGTGGTATAGATTTATGGGGGAAGATGAGGAGTTTGACACTGGCTATCAGCTGATCTGGCCTGAAGCAGGAGGAGGGTGGGTGGAGGTGAGCAAGATGTGACAGCTGAGCTGGTGGGAGTGCTGGGTCTTCACATGATGCTGGATGTGACCTTTCTTATTCTTGCTCTGGCAGGTGACTGTGGCCTGTGAGGAGGGCTGGACCCTGACAGGCTGCAGTGCCCTCCCCGGGCCCGCCCGAGTCCTTGGGGCCTACACTGTGGACAACACGTGCGTGGTGAGAAGTCAGGACACTGGTGCAGGAGGCAGGACCAGCGAGGAGGCTCTAGCCGCTGTTGCTATCTGCTGCCGGAGCCAGGCCTCCCTGGAACTCCAGTGACAGCCCTACCCTGGACGTGGTGTGTAGGGAGTGGTCAGGCCTGGGTGTTGGAGCGCCACATCTGTGCTTTGAAATGGTCATGACTTTGCCATCCCTCAGCCCTCCATGGCCTGGGCCCAAGGGGACAGGGTTCCTCACCCTTTCTGGAGCTGCAATGCTGGCACTTGAAGTGGGTGGGCACTGGGAGACCTTGATCTCACCCTGGATCAACCCCTTTCCAGACCTAAGCTGAGCACTGCAGGACTGGAGGGGACCTGTGTTTGGTATTCTACCACTCAACAGGTGAAGCCCTGTTCCTTAAAACACCTACACGCCTGGGCAGAAGTACCTCTATCAGGTTCCTGCTGCATCCAGGCATTTCATCTTGGTCTCCATGGAGGGCAGGCAGCATCTTTTCCCTGGGTAGGTGAGAAGGCCCGTGGTGGCTGGGAGGGCCAACTACCAGTTAGGTGAGTGTGAAAGCTGGGAACAGCCGTTCTCCTCCACGGTCAGTTTTCTATATCTCCAGGGATCATGTCCAGCCCCATGTGGAGTCCAGGCACTAACCCCCTACTTGGTGACACCACTTCCTCACTCGGAGCCTAGGTTGAACACCTCCCTCCCTTGCAGGCCTGCATGCACCAGAAGGCCCACAGGGCTCAAGCTGTCTCAGATCTAGCTAACACTTCAGAATGTCCAAAGTGCTTCTCCAGCCACATTCTCAAGTTTCAAAGCTGCCCTGGATCTTATTCTATGCATCGGACAGATGGGGCAACGGAGTCCTTCATCAGCCATCAAGAGACCTTGGTTCAAGTTCTTGCTCTTTTCCCTCTAGGTTTCCATCAGTTAGGACTTGCCTCATGGGTGACACAGCTTTCCTTGAAATTCCTAGCTCCTGTGCCTAGCCCCAAGCTGCCAGATGACCACAGGGCCAGCTTTGTTTCTCCCAGCTGCTCCCACTGTGGTCTCTCCAGGCTATCTGTGCAGCAGGGGCCTGCAATGACAGACAGCACCCAGGGGTGGACCACATGGAGGATGTGTCCTCTCCCCTCCCCACCCCCACTTCAGGAGGATGAAACTAGGGACCAAAGAGGGGACTCGCCCTCAAGCTCACACAGCTAGGATGTGAGGTGGCGCTGGGGATGAAACCCCCATCTGGCCAGCTTTAAAGACTAGCCTATTACCTGTACCAGCAGGGCCCCAATTTTAAGAGCCAACACTGAAGCTCTGTGGAGAAATACGCAAGCAGAGCCTATACCTCCCCCTGCTTCTTCCTGGGTGCCTGGCCCCCTGTGGCCTTTTTATAGCAAAACACTTTTCTAGATCTGTCTTGCTTTTGTAATGTGAAGATATTTATTCTAGGTTTTGTAGTGTTTTTATTATACGGTGACTTTAAAATGAAACAACTTTGCTCTGACTGCTGCCTGGATTCCAGTGTCTGAGATGACTTAGTCCCACACCAACTGACTGCCTTTCAGTTGGTTCTGACTCAGTTCCTACAGGGCTGAGTACTACTGCCCTGTACTGCTCCCAAGGCTCCCAGGGGAGTGGCCCTTTTGATTAGCAGCCAAGAGCACAAACTCTGTGACGTTGGGGTAGACCTGCTGAGTGGTTAAACAGACCAAAGTATTTGATGAGTGTGTGGAAGCTGGTAACATATGTTTGTACCTTGTGTGTCTAAGGAATGAGACTGGCATTTTCCCACAGCTTCCAGGACCCCACTTAGGGTTCTGCTGGTAACATGACACCACCACACTGAGCTCCCAGTGCCCAGCACAGGTCCTGGCAGAGTGAATGTGCAGGGCGTACATTAGTCATACTAGCTATTCTTCTGTAATGAGGAGTTGGTGCCACGTCCCCTTCAGTGGGACCTTCCAGGCCCTGCTCTCCAAGTCTCAAGCAAGGCCCAACTCTACACAGCCCATACACAGCAAACATGTTAAGGGATCCTGTCAGCAAAGGGAAAATTCCCGTTAACATTTTCTGACAGTTTTGTGCCCTATATGGAAGGTGTTCGAAACACCAAGGGCACCCTGGACGAGAAGAAAGGGCAGCGCGTTCTCTGTGCTCAGCACCTGTGTCAGTGGTGATGCCAGACCCCCAGCATCAATAGGATGGCACAGAATCAAGTGTCAGGTTCTCAGATACGCATTCTAACAGCTCCATGACTCGAGAGAGGATGGCACCAGTTGGCTCTTGCAGATAGCTGGCAGTGTTGCTGGGGAGTGGGGGAGGTATGGGCACAGGCCACAGAGGAGGATTTGGTTCCCAGGAGTGGGGACCCTGTGAGCAGGACATTAGGAATGAGATTGGGACCCTGATTTTAGCCAAGGACTACTCAGGAGGAACCTGAAGCTACAGGGGACGCAGCTGTAGGTCATCAGTCAGATTCAGCATCCTTGACCAAACTTTGCAATTGAATCCTAAAATGGTCTGACTATATAAATGAATAGCAAAAGGCTTGAAGACCTGTAAACTCCCACCCCTTATTATTCAAAGAGGAGCTAATTCACACCATAACTGCAAAATCTTAAAAAGAAATGTAGTAGCATTTATATGGAGAAAAATGTTGGTGAGACTCCCACTTTACATTTTTGAAAAAATTTATTTTATGCTCCTAGAAGCAGTGAACTCTGCTACTCATGAGCCAGACTTAGAATTAGGATTCTTCCCTAATTTATCTTCTTCCTTCTGAAACATTATAAACAAGGTTCTGTACACAAGCGGTAGCAGAGGGGAGGTCCAGTCTACTTGTTCCAAGCTCAAATGGTTAACTTGCACAGACCTCAATGTTAGCGGGAGGGCTAGGGGCCAGATGAGTCTGAGGACAGGGTGTCGGGGCCCTAACACTTACTGTGGGTGTGAGTGGCCACATGGGCACTCGGGGGAGATGCCCTCAGGGACGCCGTGACGAAGGGAGCTTCTGAGAACATCCACATTGACTCAGTTGTACAATTTTCCTGCTCAAGCTGCAGACCATTTTTGCAAGATTTATGAAAACATCTTCAACCAAAAAATTGGCAGTAAAAATGGTAACTCTTCCCCCCCCCAAAAAAAGGTAAGCCTGTTGTACTTGTCATTTTGTTGAACTACATTTAAAAAAAGTCCTCAGCAGGGTTGTAGAGTGCAGCTGCTGGCATTCCAGCGGTTACCGGTAAAATGGAAACGATGGCTGTAACAGAACAACATAAACAAAATGAAGCGAAGCGTGGACTATACAACCGGAGGAGTGGCATGGACGCAGCTGCTTCTGGGGCTGCAGCAGCTGCGGTTTCCACAGGAAATAGGGGAGCTGGAGGGGGCTGTTTCACTCCTCCTTCTGGGCTCATGAGTGTGCAGTGGTCAGTGATGGGATTCCAAGTCGTCTCAGTGCCAGCATTTCAACGTCATGTCCATACAACCATTCAATACCATGGGGGCGGACAAGAGTGAGGGTGAAGTAGGGAAAACAGTAGGGCCTGGCGCAGCTATGGAATCGAATCAATCATTTGAGATTGCAAGCACATCAGAACCATGTAAACCTTGCCAGCTGCCCCTGCCCGTTCCTTGGAAGACACCCACTCAGTGTATCTGACAACAGCCATCCATAGTGTGCAGGAGGTTACAGAATGGCAAACTGAAGTCTGACTGCGCTGCAGTAACTTTCAGCAACTCCAGAGTGAAATGGCTAGTGAGGGAAAGCCCACAGCTATGAAAAGACGTCTGTCCTCTCATGTGTCCTACAACATACAAGAGTAACCAAAAAGGCACTTGGGAGCTGGCTACACCTCTGACTTGGCAAATCTAAAGACAGTGGCATCTGGCACTTCTTAAGGTTCCCCTAGTTCTGCGCATGGCAAGCTGAAACTAAAGCAGATGTGACTGAAGGCAAAACAGGTCTGAAAATGTGTGCATGGAACTCCAAGTACCAAATACATGAACTATATTGGCACATCCCCCTCCCCCACCTGCCCCCAGTTCCCAACACCACAGGAACCTGAACGAGGTGAACACATGGTGCGGGGACACTTAGGAAATACAACTGGATGGCTGGTCAATTACTTTCTAGTTATTTCTGGGAAAATAAACCTAAAGCCCTGGCCCTGTCTTTTCAGTGTTAATACCGCCATGCTGAGGAGAAACAATGTCTTGAATCCCTCCTTTGCATTAAAACTACTATGAAACTCACATAGCTGGTATCTCCCAATTCAAACATCTAACTTCCTCTGCAACTGAGATCAAGGGTGTCAGTAGCCAAGGATTTGTTTTAACCAAAAGTAAATGACTGCAGATTCCCATTATTTAAGACTACAGTTTATTCAATATGTCTCCAAGAGTTAAAAAGGTGATACCATGAAGTCAAACTGCAATTAAATTGTGTCTTAAAAGTGCTTTTTATTTTGGTATTTAAAAAAAAAATTTTTTTTTGGGGGGGGGGCCCACTCACAGCTTCTTTAGAGCCTGATGTTAAAGAATGCACCCTGTACCTCTGAAGAACACAGCACTGAAAAAAACTTGTTTATTGCTCTTTTCAATCTCAATTAAATCATAAAAATAGCTTAAAGAGAGCTCACTAATTTCCAATTTTTGATCCTGGTTAACATTTCACTGAGGTCCAAACTTACGCCCAGAGCTTTCACCCAAACCCTTCTTAAAATCTGTACAAACAGGGAGACATATTAAATACAAAGGTCTATGTAAACGGAATTCTTTAACTACTATTTTACAATGGAAATGAATTTTATCACTTATCTTTACATCATTTGAAATTGGATATTCCTACTCAATGTTACTGCAAGATTAAAAATTTGCCCCACACATCTAAAGGCAGCTTGCTTTTTTTTTTTTTTTAATATAAAAACCAGAGGAATTTCATTTGTAGCATCATAGAGAAAGCAACAGCTCTAACTCTCACTCTTGTATGTTCAGGTAACAAAAAGTCTGTCACTGGCTTTATCTGCTAAATCTCCACAATGTTGTTAGATCACATGGGGACTGTGCCCTGGGATCAGCTGATCCACATGCTGGCGCTCTCCTGCCGC